GATAAAGATAGTTCTCTTCTGTTATTTAATAGGAGTATTTATTTTCTCTACTAGAACTGCTTAGCTTAGGTGAATTCTAGCTGATAATTTCAGAAGGGTGAAAAGCTAACTAGAACTGGGCATTTGGCCCAGATAAATTGATTCCAGTACTATGAAGGAAGCAGCAAGGGAACTAGAAGTCTTTGACAAAAATTGTTGATAATTGGCTAAGGACTAGGGAGGCAAACAAAACTTGGAGAGCTATGAATGTTATTCTAAGTAAAACAGAGACACAGGAGAAATCAAGGTGCTGCAAGACTAGCAACCTTATTTTTAATGCTAAGAAAAAATTTAAAATACATTTGATCATGGCCAAACATCTGCTATCCATAATTTTTAGGACATAAGTCTTTCTGAAAACCTAAATTACAGAAGCAAAATGGAAATCTTGGGTTTGAGTTTCTGCTTTGTGTGATTTTAGGCAAGTCACCTCACAGAGTTTACCTTTCAGTAACATTCCCTTTCCTCATCTATTAATGGTGGATGATGTGATCATTATTCCACAGGGATGTTTTTAGGAGTAAATCAGAGACTTTGTAAATCTCACTGCTTAATCAAATAATGTTTTTTCATATTGCTAAGAATGTATCTATTTTATACTAATTGGTTTTTAAATTTTAGCAAATCTGAATATGAAGCTATATAAATATTACATACATTGATTTTAATAGGATTTCAAACAACGGAATTTAAATTACTCAGGTTATAATGATTATAGCCATTATTAGATTAGTCATGAGTAAAACAACAAATGCCCTTAGCTCTTGTTAAGATAGTTCCTACCTTCTGCAAATAACAGTAAGATCTTCATCCAAAAAATCCTTTTAAAAAAATATCATTGATACTATGGCCCTAGATCTCAAGGCAATGACAGAATCAAAATAATTTCAGTCCCCCTCCTCCTGTTTCATTACATTCCTTCACTAGTGTCTAGTGGATTATACAAAAGTAGTTCTGAATTATTTCTTAAACCTAAAGCAGCACAAATTAGAAAAGTCTAAATGGTACTCAACAGCATTCAAAATGCAGATAATTTTTGCTCACAAACACACTGAAGTGACTGTATGTTGTGGTAAGTTATCAAATTATGGAAAGAACATTGCAGAGATTAAAATGTTGCATAAGAGGGAGAAAGCAGCATGAGTCAGGGGTTTGGGAAATATGAGTCAGACTGAAGGGAATGAGCCAAACAAAGAGAATGAAGGCCTAAGCAGGAACTTAATGGACATCACAATTGTGTGGACATCATTGCTTCCATTAGCTTTGAGAGAAAATCAAATATGTGGTTCCATTAACTGAGGGTGAGTGGGATAAAGAGGCTAGAAGTGAAAACTGAACAAAGATTATACTGGATTATTTAAAGCAACTAAGTTTGCCAAAGTCAGCAAGAGAGGAGCCTACAATGGTATAAATCAATAGGAATAGAGACTATGGGCACATTTTTGAAAAACAAAGGAATCACCAAATATTGCTATTAGCTATTCTCAATATATTAAAATGGTGAAATGTGTTGTGATGTTTTAGGAAGTACATTCTATTATTTTGTTCCTCAATAATGTTAACCTTAGGCTATGACTGCACAGTACAGAGCTGCTCGCTACTCGCTATGATATTCAATCCAAACTCTCCAATCCCACCCTTAAGCCTCCAAATTTTGCTCATGACTTAAGTGAGCATTTTCTGCTAGTCACTGCACCAGCCTCCTCACACACAGCCCCTCTAGCTCTCTGCCATTCTTCTCATGCAGAGCAGCTGGGTCTCACTGATATTTTCTAATGTGACCTGCCTTCTTAGGAACAGCCTTTATTCCCTGCCAACCCATGTATCTCATCTTTTTCAAGAACCCACTTTCTCAGAACCCACTTCCTCCGGAGAAGCTTCTCTTGCTCTTCACCTCTGATCAGACTGCTTCAACCTTCACAGACTCTGTATTGCACTGTGCTAGGCACTAAAACACAGAAAAAAGTAAGACACAGATTTCACCTCCGCATAGCTGGGGTCTAGGGCTCAGGGCATATATTAATGGATTGCCTATAAAAGCCAAGGAGCTTAACTGTCAACAATAAATTATAGATAATTTTAAAAAATAAAAAGTTATCCACCACCATACTTGTTTCTTAGGAAAACCATGGCTGACCTGAGTAGTTTCCACAGACAGTTTCCCTTATAAATGTAGGAAAACAGTTTTGCTTGCAAACCATGAAGCAGTGTTTCTGCTATACTGTTAGTAATTTTTGTATTGCACCGAACTTTCTTTTTTGTTGTTTTTTTTTGTTTTGTTTTGTTTTTTTGGTAGCAGGGATTGAACTTGAGTCCTTGTGTTTGCGAGGCAGGAGGTGGAACCACTGAGCTAAAGCCCCGGGCCTGCACGGAACTTTCTGATATTTAAGACAAACAGAAATGTAGAAAAGTAGAAAAGACAAATGTAAGAGTTTAACAACATATGTTGTTATAAAGTCTTGATGTGACTTTATATAGATGTGTAAACAAGCAATAACAGGATCTCCAAGTATAATTTTCAAAATATTATGCTATTTAAATAAACTAATAAATAGATATTATAATTGAAGAAAGTTCAAAATTCAGTCTATCAGTAGCCTTCAGCAGTAGACAACCTGTTGAGAGAGGGTGAGTAGAAGTTCCTAAACTGTAGTGAGAGAAGACATAGATGGTAAAGTAGTTAGTAGCTGCTTTCTGGTCAGAGGCTACTTTTTGACCATTTTGCAAACCCAGGTAAGTAGAAATTATAATCACCAATCAATACTAGGTGAGACATGTCCTGTTGCAACTTTGGCTTTTGACAGAAAAAGGAAAAGAAAAAGAAAAAGGATATAGTGGTAATGGAGGTAGTCGTTTTGGTTTTTTGTTTATTTTTATTAAACTACCGTAAGTTACCAAGCATTTTTATTATATGATCCTCCTCAGAAGCTAAATAGACGTGATTCTTAAGAAGGAGTCACTCAGGTTTGTATGTTTAAAACCTACAGTTGATTCCACTGGAACTGTTAGCCTACTTATCAAAGAGATTCAGAAAATGAACAGTGAGAAAATTGTAGGACATCAGGAATGTGATAGGTTGGAGGCAGTTTGCAAAGAGAGTTTCAGAAAGAAAAACTTCAGTCACTTGTGAGGCCTTGCTTAGAAAATGCAGCGGCCTGCCCAAGTCCTTGATCTTCTACCAGTATATACTATTTGCCACATCTGAATCTAATATTGCCATATCTCTCAAGGCTACTATCACTGCAAATGCTGAGATGTTCCTGACATAAAACAACAGGAATTCTGCTGTCATTTCTGCATTAGCAAGTCATAAAGAAACCCCAGTAGAAAAGTTTTCATCAATTGCATATGAAAAAATAATAAAAGACACAAAAAGGAACAGATAATTTCACAGCAAGATTGCATCGTACCTAAAAAGGACAGTTTATAATCACTTGCAAATGACAATAACAGAAATAGTATTAATGAATTTCAAAACAAAACACAAAGTAAATCAAAAGCACTTAGCTAAACTCTAAAACTAGGTTCAAAGAAATATGTAAGTACATGCTGTAATAATCTGACGAAGTTATATATCACTTAAGTATTTTTCATCTCCTCTCCCTCTTTCTTGTGGAAAGACTCTCTCTTATCATTTCCACACCCACCTAAGTGAAGCCATTATTTGAAGACAACCTTCTTACAACATGAACTTCCTTATGACATTGCATAGTGTAAGTGCAACAATTTTCCGTGGAAAAATAACAGGCAAAACAACACTAAGGGCTACTCTCTGGGTTTCTTTTTAAAAAGGCAGGAATTAGGTAAATTCCAATTGCTAATGGCTCTTTTTTCTTTTTCAGTTCATTCTTGGCCCACTATTTCTTCCAAAGCATTGCCCTGGGTTTATCACAGTATGATCTAAGAACCCCTAAGTCTGTCTTGGTTCTCATGGAAAACTTGTCATCTAGGAATTACGTGTTTTATGATATTTTTAATAAACTCTAGATTCTGAAGGTGTTGGACAATGCCAAAATGGTGTAATGCTCTTATTTGTTCCTTTTAAGGTAATGATATGAAATATTTTAATGAATACTGTTGTAAATGAGGCAAATTTGCTTTTCATTTATAAATGTCTATAAATATGAATGTATACCCACACACTTCTATCACATTTCTATTCCAAACAAAGAAATTCTCTAAACTGGCTTTTTATGTTATGACTGAGGATTATTTACTTTTCTAGAACTTTAACCTGCCTAATTCTTAGGACACAGAACTAAAATCTTTGTGAAAATATGTATTTTAAAATATACCAGCCTGTCTCTCCTTAAGGAATATGACCAAATTGAGTCTTTCACAGTGAAAGATTTATACATATATATTATCCTATCATTTGCCAAAAAAGACAGTAACAGGAAATGTGTGATGTTAAAGTATGATTTTACCCTATTACTGGACAGATTTTTAGAACTTTGTCAATAAAAACGATCTCAAATTCAGTATCCCAGGTGGAAAAAGCAGATTTCATACACCTATTTCAATTTTAAAACACATAAAACAGTAATACATCCCACTAGCTGTAGCCATCTAATCTCTGTATAATAAAGGTATAAAACCATCTCGGGGAAGGAGCCACACCTACCAGGACAGTGGCAAGTGGTGGGTAAGGGGATACGGATGGAGTGAGGCATCAGCTGTGTCTGAAATGTTTCATTTCTTAACACAACAAAAGGATCTGAGACAAGCATGGCAAAATGTTAACATCTGAGAATCTGAGTGGTAAACTCTATTATCGATGAAATTACTTTGTGAACACATGAAATGATTTATAATTTGAAATATTTCCAGTATAACAATATTATAACGCTTTCAGAATAAAATGAAAATTTAGTTTAAGAAAAGTATGTTGACTACACGGAGGAAGTATTGACATCTTTACAGTCAACTAAAATTCTTTCTGTATTGTGTGCCTTCGACAGACATTGACGAGTGCACTGCAGGGACACACAACTGCGGAGCAGAACAAGTATGCATCAATTTACGGGGCTCCTTCAGGTGTCAGTGCCCTGCAGGGTACCAGAAGCGGGGAGAGCAGTGTGTAGGTAAGTACCATGGTGCAGTAAGCAAAGTCTTATCTTCACCATCTTCAGACTTTCAAATAAAGCACTCGCAATTATGTGGAGAATGATAGCTAACAACTGCTTTTTCTTCCATTGACAATCAATCTATTGTCCAACAAACAAGAAGAACTAATCTTAAAGATTGATTCTATCCTTCAAATCAAGGTGTCGTAGGCCAACGAAAGCAGAAGTCTGGGGTATGAATGGACCATGAAAGTAACTAAGAAAACAACTTTAAATCAGAGGGCGTAGCACTAACACACTGGGGACATGGGCTTCATTCACTGTCATATAGCATCACACAGCACATAGGACAAATGGTGAGTTTCAAATACCAGCTCTACCCCTAAATCATTTAGAGTCTTTAAGCAAAGTATTTAAATTCTCTATCTCATGTTGTTCATTTGTCCTGTGGCAGCATCAATCCCGCCTCAACAGCTCACAACAGACACAGCATATGGGAGTTCCTAGAACAGGCCTGGCCCTGAGCAATACAACTATGTGCTATTATCATTCAGTGAGTTAGCAGTCTGAAGTCCCTTATGTTACAAACTTGTGCTGGGTGCTGGAAGTGCAAAGCAAAGTACATTACCTGCTTCACTCAAGGCTCTGCAAGTGTCAGCTTCCCTGAGGGCAGGGGCCAGTCAGCTTGTGTCACTGCTTACTCTCTAGTCCACAAGAGCTCACCATGTGATAGATGTTGTATGCATGCATTGGGAATGCATGGAGGGATGCAGTGTGACGAGGCCAAGTGGCAAGGACTGATGTGGAACAAAGCACCGTGGCTCAATCATGAAACCCCACAGTGGTCACAGAATCTGTAACTGACTCCTCCCTCTGTCCGTTATTTAGATACCATCCCTAACCACAGCCCAGTGAGAGGCTGCATTTTCTCTTAGGACAAGTGGGTGAGGACAGGGGGACAGGCCCCCATCATCAATTTTCACCAGAAAATGTGAGCTATTGACATTAGGGTGTCAACACTGAGTTCCTTGTGGGCCCTGATCCAGTTCTGCCTGCCATGGAGCTGTGCCTAGATGTTGTGGTTGGTTCCTAGCCTCAGAGAAAGGCCCAGCGTTTGTAGTGGCTGGAGCCATGATTCAGAAGAGTGCGTAGGGCCAGGGTTTTAGCTCAGTGGTTCCATTGCCTGCCTCACAAGCGCAATGTCCCGAGTTCGATCCCCAGTACCAAAAAAATCAAACAAACAAATAGAAGAGTGTATAGAAAACTCCATAGATACACAAGTTTTGCCCACTGTATAGTCAGGAAAGTAAACATTTGGGAGACTAAGAAGTACAGAAAAAAGAACCCTCCCTGCTGTACAGTGAACCAAAGAGAAGGGAATACATTATCACAGCCCTTCAGGAGTATAGGAAAAGAGCTTTTTAAATTTACATCCAATCACATATCTTCCCTAATGTTCCCCTCACCCACAGAATCAAGTCTACATTCCTCAACAGAGCATAAAAGGTCTTCTTCATGCTGATCTTTATCCATTAGCACCCCTCTCCCAAAATGAAAACTATACTCCAGTCTGTCCTGTTAATTATACATATACAGTGTCACATTTCAGTGCCTCTATACAAGCTCTTTCCAGCACAAAGAATATTCCCTCCTAAGAAACCTTTCTTCCACTAGCAAATCCTAGCTCAGTGTCACCTCCTCTGGGAAGCCTTCCATGATCTACACAGATAGAATTAATTACTCTTTCCTGGTCAAAGTATTACGAAATATCCTTTTTGTAAATTTCCAGTCTGTTATAGACCAATATCTCTGTAAAGTATAACAAAAATATGTGGTGATGTCAAATTGCTACTTTTAAGCATGTGTGCGCCTACATTATTTTTTTTAGATTGCTCCAAACAGTCCATGGTGCCACAACAGTCAGCAGGCCACACATTGAACAGTACCATGCTTACCTGTCCCTTGTACCCCCTTCGTTTTTCTCTTATTATTCCATGGATTGATTTGTTTCCTGCCTGTCTTCCATACTAGACAGATGTGAATATGTGTATACTTGTTATCACAAACTTACAGTGCTAAACACAGTGCTGGAAAACAACAGTTTGATTGATGTTTATTGGATGCAAATGACACTGCATGAGACACCTGTCTACCTGAACCATTTATTCATCAAATATTTACTGCAGGCTTACTATGTGCCAGGCACTGCTCTAGTTATTGGACTATAGTAGTAAACAAAGAAATTATACACATTTATAACTCTCACAGAGCTATGAAAAAGTATGATATATACAATTTGACTGTCACTACTGGTACCTTGCTCTAATATTCAATACTAGGAAGCATTATGCTAAAATTACTCTTAATTAGCATTATTTCCATTCATTCAAATAATGTTTATTGAGCACCCACTATGCCAGCCCTTGTTTCAACTACTGAGCATTCAGCAGTGAGCAATTGGAATCTCTTAGCCTTTACCTCAAGAGAAAATAGGTCTTATTTGCCAAGTATTATAGTGAGGAAGACAAGACAAGAAGCAAATATAGTAAATGCATAACACAGTATTAAGTAATGTCAAGGGTTATAAGGAAATCTAAAGCAGGATAAGAGTAGAGATAGAGCAGAATGAATTACGTGTGGTAGAGATGTTCTTCCCAAGGAGGACTGCACAGACACCTGAACAAAGGACCAAAGCCACATTAATATCTTTATTTCGATATGCTAGTTACATTATAAAAATCTTATAGTTTATTAATAAGCTCCCATGTATTTTTTACTTGCTATGTTCTAGGAACTTAACCTACTTTATTTCAATTCTGTGGCATTGTTGCATTACTATACTTCTAATAATTCCATGGTATTGTTCCATTACTATACTTCTGGAAAAAGAAATGGAAGCTTGGATAAGTTAGTAATTTCCAGAAGAAAGATTAAAACTCAGGTTACCCTGAAGCCATGCAAGCACACTGCTTCTCACTGGAAGAACCACAGAGCCCAACATAGTCTTATTTCTTTTTTTTTTTCAGCTTTAATTGAGTTTATTGGTACATTTTAGGGATACAGTACAGTTACATAGTCTTATTTCTTTTTGTTTTATCTCAAGGCAGTATCACTATATTTTGTTACATTGTAATGCATAATTACTTTAAGTTACATGTGCCATGTTAGAGTTGTCACAAAGTGTACAGTCATGAATTAATGACATTTTATTATGCTTATAAGATGTTAGTACTACTCTGCAAGTTCTTGGTTGAGCATTTTATGGTTGGAAATATTTATCTAAGAAAGACACACAGACTGGAACACTTCATCAGTGTCAGAAGGCCACTCTCAAGAGGTCACTTGTTCAGCGTCCTTTCCTTCCACAGTGTTCTTTCCTCTGACTTCCTAAGATACACATGGCAAGCCTTCCTGCATATCTTGCAAAACGCGAAGATATTGAATGTTTCAGAGCCTTAAGAGTCACCGGCTGAACATAGCCCACAACTTCATCCTCTTCGATTGTACCTCATCACTCCATTCTTTGTTCTTTTCTATTTCAGTTATGTTAAATAAGCTCCCAAAACTGATTGATATTCTTATATGTATGGGAAATAGTCTTTACTACGTATGTGTGTGTGTGTGTGTGTGTGTGTGTGTGTGTGTGTGTGTTCTGGGGGTGGAACTCAGGATCCTGTATTTGCCAGCCAGGTGTGGCATCACTGAGCTACATCCCCAGCCCATACCCTTTTCTCTCAGCCCACCCAGGCCTGTTTATTTACCACTGAAACTGTCATGCAATCAATCTTTGTTCTTAACATTTTAACAAAATGCTGGCCATAGTATAATGAGAGGGGGAGAGGGGAAGAGAAAGAATTATTTTTCAAATTGGGTCTTCCCTAGATAAGTTTTCTTGTTGATTCAATAATTTGGTTCTCTGTTTGTATGCCTGATTCCCTAGACATAGATGAATGCTCTGTGCCTCCATATTGCCATCAAAGATGTGTGAACACACCAGGCTCATTTTATTGCCAGTGCAGCCCTGGGTTTCAGTTGGCAGCAAACAACTACACCTGTGTAGGTAAGCTTTCAGGAACTGCCATCCTGACTGATTTTTATCTTCAAGGGAAGGAAACCCCATGTCAATGTGCACTATTTCTAGTTTTCTATGTTCCTGAGAGAACTGGTTTCTATCAGCTTCCCTTAAGCAATCGTAAAGCTGAAGACAGTAACTAATCAGTTTTTTAAAACACATCAAGATGTGAATAGAAAACTTTTTTAACCTTGGTTTCTTTTCTCTGTGGGTGTGTAAATTGTTTTAAACTACAGATCAATTGATATACACACACCAATTAGTCAACAGTGTATGATATAAATGCTGAAGGTGCCAAAGGGGTTACTGGAAGTTCAGGAACACAAACTTTCCACTAAAAGTGCATCTGATTTTTACATGCTGCTTCTCCCTTTTCAGGATGCAGTGTCATGGCACACAATTATAAGATTGGCATGAGATGGAAAGAATCTAGTGCAGGAAAAATGCCTTTTCACAATATTTTCAGTGCCTTAGAGCATTGCAAAACTCTGTATGGATCTCAAAGGCTTATGTTATAATTGTAAAGGAATTCAACAGAAACCATTTAAAAAGTAATAAATAGCACAGATAAATCTTCACCACAGCATGCTGAGAGACTATCAGTGTGAGTGTCATATAATGATTATTTACAGAGTTGGCATTTTGAATCTGAACAACAAAAGAAAATAGATACTGGAATGTGTATTTATTAGAAGCATTAAGTTCCTTTGGGAAGATTTATCAAACATCAAACTGTCATTCCTTTTAAAAAAGATTCTGGTATTTATAAAAGAAGTATATGACAGACCTTTGAGGTTGTTCCAACAAATATGAAACTGAATGGATGTTCTCCAATGAGCTTCTGCAGGACAAAGAATTCATCTAGGGAATTACTTATCATCAAATGATACAGAGCGAGGATATGATTAAATGTATATTAATTATATTAATATATATATAACCTTTCTTTCAGATATAAATGAATGTGATGCCAGCAACCAATGTGCTCAGCAGTGCTACAACATTGTTGGCTCATTCATCTGTCAGTGTAATCAAGGATATGAGCTGAGCAGTGATAGGCTCAACTGTGAAGGTAAAATGTTTTCCAAATAATATGTAATAAGATTCTATCCTTGTAACTTGAGTTGCTTTCTCTGCTTATGTACCTGTTGATGAAAACAAATTTTTAACTCACAGAAATTCTGATCTGTTGTCTGATTAATGTAGCTATGACATTGGCTTTTTAATATGTTATCAAAAGAAAAGAGAAAAAGCAAAAGAGCTAAAATATTTGATGTAGGCAAGGTCTAATCATTACAAATGGTGCTCTAGTGTCTTGCTTCTTGAATTATGAGAAGATGATCAGTGGTAGTAGCAGTTCCTCTATGAAATCCAGAATCTCAAACCTCAACCAAGACTTCCTAAGTCTTAATATACTATTTAACAAGAACACTGGGGCCAGGGATTTAGCTCAGTGGTTCCACTGCCTGCCTTGCAAGTGCAAGGACCCAACTTCAATTCCCAGTACCAAAAAAAAAAAAAAAAAAAAATGCTATATGATTGATGTGCACATTTATGTTTGAGAAGAGCTGATGGCATTGTCAAAAATATTACAATAAAACATAGAGCTAGGCATGGTGGCACATGCTTGTAATCACAGCATTCAGGAGGCTGAGGCAGGAGGATAACTGAAAAATTGATGTCAGCCTGGGCTGCACAGTGAGTTCAAAGCCAGCCAGCGTGAGCTACATAGTAAGACCCTGTCTCAAAAAAAATAACCTGATCCCTAGCTTTGTTATTGCACTGTGTACTAACAAAAAAAAAAAAAAAAAAAAGAATGCTATATGATTGATGTGCACATTTATGTTTGAGAAGAGCTGATGGCATTGTCAAAAATATTACAATAAAACATAGAGCTAGGCATGGTGGCACATGCTTGTAATCACAGCATTCAGGAGGCTGAGGCAGGAGGATAACTGAAAAATTGATGTCAGCCTGGGCTGCACAGTGAGTTCAAAGCCAGCCAGCGTGAGCTACATAGTAAGACCCTGTCTCAAAAAAAATAACCTGATCCCTAGCTTTGTTATTGCACTGTGTACATTCCTTAAGCAGTCTGTGTTTAATATTCCATATTAATAAAAAAGAGGGCCATTCACCTGGCTGGGTAACCTTCAGAGTCGATTTCAGGAATACATTCTGCAGAATAATTCAAAAGCATAATACATCATTAAGGGAATGCCATCAATACTTGATAACCCTAACTTCCTCATGATCTCTCCAGGTTTGCTTGGAGCCACAAAGCAAACATACCCACCTAGAAGGCTTCATATCATGCCAATCAGGAGAGGCTGGCCTACGACAGCTGCCTCTGCTATTTGGAGCAGACTCTAGTAACATGCCTATTCAGAAATGCAAAGTATTCTTCTCCTAAAGACCAGATCCTGATATCACTACCAGAAACTCCCATGGATAGGATCTGGAGGTCAAACTCATATATACTCAACAGTGGGGCACTGAATTTCTGAGAAGACAAGCATGAATCTACATCCTGAGTGGGTGTGCAGAAGTGAGGAGTGTCAACATAAGCCAAATAGTGTATGTAGGTTCAGGCTTAGGCAAACTTTCAGCACTAATTCAGTAAAACTGATGGTAAGAAAACTCCTTGTGCTCTGAAATCAGAGATGGAAATGAACTATACTAAGAATTGGTCTTGGGCCAGGGTTTTAGCTCAGTGATGCCGCTGCCTGCCTCTCAAGTACAAGGTCCTGAGTTCGATCCCTGGTACAAAAATTAAAAACAAGAAAAAAAAGAATTGGCTCTTGAGTTTCTGATAATCATGCATTTCTATCACAGAGATTGCAATGTTTCTACTCTCAGTAGCTCATCTAAAAATATATTAGCAAAGCACAACATAAATGCTTTTGAACTTTGTGTCCTTGCTGTTCTCTGATTCAATAGACATTGATGAATGCAGAACCTCAAACTACCTGTGTCAATACCAATGTGTCAATGAACCTGGGACGTTCTCATGTTTGTGCCCTCAGGGATACCAAGTAGTAGGAGGTAGAACATGTCAAGGTAAGCATATTGTCTGATATCTGGCAAATGTTCAGTGTTTGTTTGTATGTTTGTTTTTGTACTGGGGATTGAACTAGGGACCATGCAATTGCAAGGCAGGCAGCAGAACCACTGAGCTAAATCTCTGGCCCTGGGAAGTGTTCAGTTTTAACCAAATGGAGGATGTTACAGGATTCTCTACTGTAGACATTCATTTTCCCACATGAAATACACAATTTGAGCTCCTTCTCTCCCTATTTATAATGAATTAATGTACACCTCATAAAGAGGAGATTCAATATCATGACCTGGGATGCTGTAGTATGCAACTTTATTTGTTTTTCCTCAATATCAAATGGTGATAAAGAGTCCAACCACTAGGTACAAGCATAATCAGAATGCTGTTCACTGCTCAGAGAACATTTATTGTGGGAAAACATTGCATGGTAGTGGTTATACTTACTGAAGTCTAATTGAAACTTTTAACATGAGTATTAAATGCAAGAAAATATGTTAGCTAGCAGGATATTTAACCAGTTTCCCTAGTCTTCCAAATAAATGTCTGTGTGTTTCTGATCACAGCTCAATTTTAAACTCAGCAAAAAAACAAAAGCAAATTAACATGTAGTTGGATCTTACTTGTCAGAAACAATTATATCAGTTGTAATTAAAGGTAGAAAATGCACTGAAATTGCAAATGGGAGTTCATGAATGCTGTGTTGAAGATATGCAGCTTTAGAATATTTGTTTAAGCTAAAATATTTTTCTTGAAGATTCACATTCTTTTAAAATGTAAAGCAATTGCTTTCCTCCACTGAAACCAACCCACCTGAGCCTCAGTCATGAAAACAAAGATTGAAAGGTTTGGATTCTTACCTTCCTCCTAACGGCTTACTTGGGATATGAAATAACTTTTCTCATTTCCATAGGCTTACAAAAATGAAAACAGTGTGTGTGTGTGTGTGTGTGTGTGTGTGTGTGTGTGTGTTTGTAGGGGGGAAAGGAGAGAGAGAGAGAAAAAGAGAGAGAGAGAGAGAGAGAGAGAGAAGTAGAGAATAAACATACAGCCAGACACACAAAAATTTTAATACTATTAATTTCTGAAAAACCTCACATTATTAATCAAGCTATTGATTATGCTAGGTTCTAAATTACTGGAAGTAACAAGCGAAGTTATATTAAGCTTCCTTTTTTGCCACTGTTGGACTCCATGTCCCAAAAGTCTTAGTTTTCCCTGTAGTTAAACAGTACCTTTATTTTTTAAGAAGATGAAAAATACTGAAATTAATTGTGATTTCTTCTAAGGAATCTAAGTTTTCTGTGTTCTCCCATAACTAGTCTACAAAGATTCTTCTTGTAACTGACTCTTGGAAATGGCATAGCTTTTCCACCCTTCTCCTGGATTCCAGATAACTGTAGCCATTTGGAAGCTAAAAGATATTTTTTCTACAAAGATAGGATACAATTATTCTTATTTAGCATAACTTGCAATACAAAGATACCTGTTATTAGTTGTATGAACTTCAACCAGTTGCTTAACCTTTATTTGTTTTTCCTCAGTATCAAGTGGTGATAATATCTTCCTCACTTATCTCCACACAGTTTTTGTGAGAAGCAATTTAGTTCATTTAATATGCTAAAAGTCAGGTCCCCAGTGCATTAACACTCAGTGGTGAAAGATCAAAGGTGGGTACAGTAGCCCTTGCCCTCAAAGAGTTTCAAGCTAATAGGATTAAAACAAGGAACTTAATTTATTGCACAATTCTAGAAAAGATGGCCCCAGTTATGTTCATCACCTGATGCAGAGTTCACAAACAAAAACACAATTTTGCCAAACACTTCTATTTGTGAACCAAATTGTTTGCAAATAAAAGCACTTGTAAATTGATGTACCACTGTATACAGATTTCAATAATGCAAAGCAAAAAAGAAATAAAATCCCTAAAAGAGAAACACCATCCATGAGACTTCAAAGGAGATCAAATCCCAGCAGTTAGCTATGCCTGGCTTGCAGCAAGGACTCAGTAAATTACATATGGGATGAGTAAATTAATGAATAAAAACATCCATTTCTGGGAAGTGCATGATTCAGAGAAGGCTTATATTGAACAGAATATGTCACTATTTATATATAATAGGAGATAGACTTAGATAGGGATGTGGGTATTAATTGTTGATGTGGTCATAAATGTAATAGCTCACTACTAAAACTGTTTCTTTCCAAAGTCATCTGAGAGCCAAACATCATCTAATACACAAATCTAGAATCAGTCCTTGTCTAGCCTGGCTAACTCATAACCCTTCTTGCCAAATTTCATGCCCTTCTGCTTTTGGCACTGCTTTTCCTAGTGTGTGTCCTAGCACTTACAGCCCTGTCTGTTTCCACACAGTACTTAAATACCTCTGCTCTACATGGTAGAACACTGCATATCTGCTCTGCCTCCTCTTCATAGCAAAGTCCCCTCTCTGATCTACCATTCCTCGGATAATGCTGCTTAATGAAACTACATTCCTAGCCTTTTCCTCTCTCCTCTGCCCTCTTCATAGTTTATGCCTGTTTTCTCAGTCTGGAGAGGCATTCCCATCCTAGCCATGAAAATCTCACCTAATTATGAATATCTAATAATGAAAATCTCACCTACTCCTTCCTTTAGCCTTCCTTAATCCTCCAGACAGAATTAATCAATTCTATTTCAAAATTAATCAATTCTACTTCAAACTCACCAGTGTACTCACCTATCTATTCTTTATTTCCATTTTACTTGTAATTGTTCCCATATTTATATTCCCAACTAATTTTTTTTACTTTTATATAAGCAGAGTCTGTAGTTATCATTTGGCTTTAAATTCAACAGATAAACAATTGGTGCTTGATAAAATATTTTATCAAGCACCAATTGGCCCAGGTACGTCTATCCTGAATTCAATGCAACGAAATTAGGTCCCACTTAGTCTTGTGTCTAAAAGCAGATTGAATACAATCCACATTCTCACACACTCCCTTACAAACCAGAGCCCTCCACCTACACATTTTTCTTAGATCCATAAACTCTTTAACCCTACATCTCTACAGATATAAATGAATGTGAAACAACCAATGAATGCCGAGAGGATGAAATGTGTTGGAATTATCATGGTGGCTTCCGCTGTTATCCACGAAATCCTTGCCAAGATCCCTACATTCTAACACCAGAGAAGTAAGAAACATCAGAACTTTTGAAGTGAGAATTTTCGGTTCTTCCCAAGCCAAACCAGTGAATACATTTTTTGTCTATCTCTGCAGCCGATGTGTTTGCCCAGTTTCAAATGCTATGTGCCGAGAACTGCCCCAGTCCATACTCCACAAATACATGAGCATCAGATCTGACAGGGCTGTACCATCAGACATCTTCCAGATACAGGCCACAAGTATCTATACCAGCACCATCAATACTTTTCGGATTAAATCTGGGAATGAAAATGGAGAGTTCTACCTAAGAGTAAGTATCTCATAGGCAGCGTGCACTGTTGAGACAGGTGGAATTTTGTCATTGATGTATAGCATTCACCCAAAAGGAAAGCTAGGATTTAAAGAGTTTTTTATATGAAAAAAACTCTTCTGTGTGTATTGTTACATTTAAAGCTACACTGTCAGATAGATATTACATTGATCTCTGTGATACTCAGCTTTTTCGGCCACTGTGACAAATACCTGTCATTAACAGATTAAAAGAGGAAAGACTTCTTTGGCTCATAGTTCCAGAGGTTTGAAGCCATGTCCCACTGGCTCTATTACTTCTGGGCCTGAAGTGAAGCTGAGCATTATGGTGAAGAAGGCATGGTGGAGCAGAGTTGCTCACTTCACAGCAACTGAAAAGCAGTGAGAGAAGGAAAAAAATCCTGATTGGAAGGAAGAAATTCTGGATGCCAAATATAATCCTCAAAGTCACCCTTCTATCAACTACTTCTTTCAATTATACCTATCTTCTGTTTCCATCACCTCCTAATAATACCCTGAAATTATATTAGGGCAATTAGTTCCCAACCACAACACTCTCCATCTTTTACGGAAGCAAAAAGTGAAATTCAGAATAAGCGGCTTCCCTAAAGTCACTCAGATGAACTGCTGCAATCTCTACTAGAAAGCACAAGCCTACACACACACACACACATACACACACACACACACACACACACATGCACACACAATAGGTACCACAAATCTGTGATATTATACACAGAAAAATGTTTCTGGAGATCTAAAACATCATGAATTCCTAATTGTAATGTGTGCAAAATGGTTTACAGTCACACCAAAATTAAAAATCTGTCAGTCTCTCAGAAGTGACCCACATCTACACACAGCATGTGTCAGCAGTTGTATCATTTATACAAACTTCAGAGCAGACAGTTTGGGTTCACTTGCGTCTTTTCCTACACTTTAATTGCCTACATGATATCTGCCTTCTGAACTCTGCCATTTCTCTCTTCACAGTGTCTCCTGGGCTATCTTCACTTTCCATGCCCCAGTCTCTCTTCTTTTGACTGTTCCCATCACCTCCCCAATATCTCCAGAGAACCCACATTGATCTCCCAGACTCCAGAGCCTTAGTCTCTCAGTCTTTCATTCAGCAAGTTCGTCTTAGGATAAAATTCTGACACATTTTGAAGTGGCTCACCACTTCAAGTGAAGATGATGGCACACTCACCAAGCAGTGTGCAGGACTACAGTAACTGCTTCATGCTAAGGATGTTATTCATCCACGTAGAATTTTCTCAAAACTCCTTTAGGTACTCTTCGTTTTTAATCAAATTAAAGTTAGTATTTCATTTTCAGAATATGAAAGTAAATTGAGAAATTAATCCTTGTAGAGTTTTTAATGCTTATATGTTTATGCTGTTCTCTGATAGATTAACTTCCCTTCTAGCTCGAGAGTAATGTGATTTCGGTAAATTTAAAATGACTAATTTCTCATGACCAACATCTGAAGTGAAAAACTCAATCCACAATATAATCTAATACTATTATTTTTTTCTCATAGGAAAGAATAAACTTTAACATTTGATGTTTTAAATTTGAGATATACTAAGTATTGTAAGAAGTTACTTGTAAATGAGTTGCACACAGTTCAGATAATATCAATTAAGTTGAGCCCAAATTACATTATCAGTAATCCTTTGGTAACAAAATAGGTTCACCTCAAAATATCTCTTTAAAAAAACTTTTCATTTTGAACTCTTAGTTACAATTTAAGAAAATAAAATTCCCTAGCAAAATCAGCAAATAGCTAAAGGAAGTTTTAACATGTCTTTTCTCTGCAATAAGGGGCACTTTGAAAGTTCTTTTTATTTTTTTCATTAAGTTTATCAGTACATTTTAGGCATACAGTACAGTTACATCCATTATTGGGATCTTGTACCTTTACAGGACAGGTCTTGGTTCTCATTTTTTCCCCATCTCCCTGCCCTCTCTTCAACCCCCTACACCCCTCCCTATTTACAGCAACTTTGTTTCCATTTTTCCTTTTCTCGTATTTTTTCCTTTCCCTACCCCTCTCACTTCCCCTACCACTTTAGACCTTTTCTTCCTATTTCACATTATCAATTATACATTTTGATCCTTATTTGCACTGAAAGTTCTTTTTTATTCATATCTTAATTTATTGAGCTTTTTTTGGCAGTACTGAGGATTTAACCCAAGATGTTTTACTCACCTACATCCCCAGCCATTTCTTATTTTGTATTTTAAGACAGAGACTCACTGAGTTGTAAATTGGCCAAGCTGGGATTGAACTTGTAATCCTACTGCTTCATCGTCCCAAAGTGCTAGGTTATAGGCTTGTGCCACCACACCTGGCTTGGCTTAATTTTTTTGAATATAGATACTCATCATTTTCTCAAATGAAATCCTTTTTCTCATGAATGATAGAAAACATTGTTAATTTTGTAATTCTAAAGTTAAATAATTCTGAATTATTTAAAATAAAAGCTACTTAAAATAATAAAAATATTACTTATTACATAATTTTTAAAGTATTAGGATCAAATCCTACAAAATTTCTCCATGAAATTCTGCTTACACAGAAAGCATTTAATGTACAAAATCAATGAGGCTTAATTATCTACTATGTTCTCTCCTTCATGCTGGGTGCTGTGAGGAATTAAAAAGACATGTAAAGCACAATTCCTAATTTCAGAGAGCTTTAAATATCATTGTGCAGCAAAAGTAAGCACCTATGAAAAAAGAAAGGGCCAATTGTATGCTTAAGTTCATAATCCAAAGACATAAAAAATTAATAGATACAAAGAGATTTCTTGATAATCATGAGAGTTGACCTCATCCATGAAAAAGCATGTAGTAGTATATAGGTTTTTATTTTAATTCCTTTTGGAAGAAAACTGAGAAAATCTTCTCTAGAAAGAGAGATATACTGTAAAGAAATAGTACATAAAATTCAAGGCAGAGTATCAGAACCCCCTACCCAAGCCTTAGTTTTATTCATAGCCCTTTCACCATGGAGCACATTATTCATCTGACTGTGTCCTTATGAAAACAGAGACCTTGCCTATCAGTTCACTTTTCTATTCTTAGCACAGAGAATGGTCCCTGGCATATAGCAGGTGCTCCAAAAAATATTTTTAAAATAATTAATTAATAAAATCAATATACTGTTAACTACAACTACGGCTTACAAGAGGCAACCTTGCCTGTATACAGACAAATGGTGAATAAAATCAAGCCAATGCTTGCCCCAATGGAGCTGACTGTCAAGACACTAAACAAATGCTCAGAAAGATGCAGAACACTGCAACAGAGTCTCAAGTTGTGCACACACACACACACACACACACACACACAGAGTATTAGTGTATATAGTATATAACAAGTATTCCTCACCATGGAAGCAGTGGTCTGGAAGCCTCTGGAAAAAGTGGATTTAAATTCAAATACGAATCAAGAATAGAAAATGAAAAGAATATGAAGAAGACTTATTGGTCTGGAAGTTCAACTGCTCAGGCACAGTGCCTGAGAGGAGCTTGATGAGGTGAATGGGGACCAGCTCACACAAAGCCTGATAGAACATTTTAAAGATTCAAGTAGCGTAGCCTATATTGGATTTTCATGTTAAAATGATTCCTGCCTACATTACAGAGCCTGAATTAGCTCCGTGGCAAAAATGGAAGTAGTGCAGTTAGTAATTCAAGAGATAGGGAATTAGGGACTAACAGTGGATTTTTTAAAAGACAGATTTATGCAGATATTAGGAGAACGACCTAACTTTTAACTCCTTGCACTCACAGTGAGAATGTAGAGGATAAAGAGACATCAAAGATAACAGCCTCCTTTCTTCTGTCTTGAGCAATGGTAAATGGTATACTATTTACTGAGATAGAGGAGAAAAAAGAGCCCTGTCCAGCTACACCTTCCTTCACTCTCCAGTATTCCTCACATTCTTCAACACTAAACTACCTCCAGTTCTTCTAAACATGGTACTTCATGAAATTTGCTTATCCCTGAAAACTCTCATTAGGTATTCAAAAGCCTCTCCTCAATGTTTCAGGATTTTTCCACTTTTCCCATACATATACAACTTTATGCATATACCCTGTATATCTGTGTATATCTTAAAATTTATCACATCCTACTGAAATTAGCTGTTTACCTATATAATCACCCACTAAAATGTAAATGGACACACAATGTTATGAAAGTGCAAAAGGACAAACTTTATCATTTTCAGATTTCTCATCTCATCCAGTCTCTACAAAGGCCAGAACTACTTATTAAGAGGGTTGAAAAATATTGACAGAGGGAAAGTGATAAAAAAGAATAATTATTTCAAAAGCAAGTTCTTGTAACCTGGAGTTAGTGATGATGGTTGGAAAGGGCTAAGAGTGAAGGAGGGTTGGAAGTTAAGAGAGACTGCATAGCATCCTTTATTCCCCTAATTTTTATAGCGGGTGTAATAAATAATAAACACTCCCCCTTTTTTGTTGTAGCAAACAAGTGCTGCAAGTGCAACGCTTGTGTTGGTGAAGTCACTATCAGGACCAAGGGAATGCATCGTGGACCTGGAGATGCTGACAGTCAACAGACTAGGGACCTTCCGCACCAGCTCAGTGTTAAGATTGACAATAATAGTGGGGCCATTTTCATTTTAGCCTTTTATATGAGTCTATCGCAGGCATTTAAACCAGCCAAAGAATATTGTTACTCTAAAGCACTACTCTATTTATAGATACATCTAGTATATCTACATCTATATACTGTACACTCACCCATAATTCAAACAATTACACGATGGTATAAAGTGGGCATTTAACCTGTAAAGATTCAAACTCTGTCTTTATTACTATGTGTAAATTAGACATTAATCCACTAAACTGGTCTTCTTCAAGAAAGCTAAGCATACATAATCTGGTGAAAGAATACATTTCCTGTAAAAATGGAACCAAGCAATGATGCTCTTCTGTGGTACTTGAGGAAACTGACTGCAGCTCTGACAGTCTTACAAGGAAGCAGCCATCATAACGTTGAGCAGCATGAAAGGCCAAGAATGAATTTTTTAACTGCTTTGTAAGAAAATGGAAAATGTCAATAAAGATATATTTCTTTAGAAAATTAGGAGCTACCATATTTATGTTCATCCTTATTTTCATGAATTCATAGGTGATTTCTGTAGATATTTTGAATTTTGTGAGGACTCTTTTCTTATAAGTATTAAAATACAATAAGTAAAAATTTCCAAAATGAACCAAATATCCCCCAGAAAATTATTCTATTAACAAACCTATGGGGAAGAGATAAGAAAAAATCATTTTCTAAACCACATCAGAGTTGATTTGAAGAAGTAAATTCAGTAAAAGCAATAACATCCTTGGAGTCAGAGTTTCTACAGGATGCACAGCAAAATGGGGAAAGGTTATTTCACTGGATAAGTTTAATTGCTACATAGAATGAAAATCCTAATACTTCACTAATAAATAAAAGTTTTCATCTTTGTCCTCGATGCTCACAGAGGAAGAAAATTATAATGGTTCTTATTCCTTGCATTCAGAGTAACAGTGAGTTAAAGCAAATCTCTTCATCCCAATTCTATGAAAATATTTTATGTCTTCTTATTTTTTTAAGTGTAATTGATTCACGTTAGTGTGTCATTTTTTAAAATAAAAATATTCTTTTTAAAAGAACATCCAATCTTTGGAGGTTTTTAATATGTAGGTAATAACAAACCATATAATTTATACATCTGGGAAAAAATCAGTTATAGCTGCCAGGGAAAAAAAACTGGTTCCATAACCTTTATATAAAAAAAACACCTCATACCTATAAGCAGTCACTCTCCATCCTCCCTTGTCACAAGCTCCAGTGGGAACTATCAGATCTACTTTGTGCCTTATGAATTTGCCTATTTTGGACATTTTGTATATACAAGACTATATACTAGGTAGTCTTTTATTCTACGTTCTTTTACTTCCCATAATGTTTTCTAGGCTCATCCATGTTGTAGTATGTGTCGGTACTTAATTCGTTTTTTCTGACTGAATAATATTCCACTTTATAGATATACCACATTTGCTTATCCATTCATCAGTTGATAGACATCAGTTGATAAATTGTTTCTACCTATAATTACTTTTTATCTTGGGGGTCAAAACGAAACTGATTGCTAAACCATTCATTCACTAATTTCACACCTAAATTCACTCATTTTTAACTTCACTTTTGACTAAAAAATGCCAAGTAATCCCAAGAGGGCTTTTTTAAATTATGGGAACAAAAAACTTGGAAAGAACTTTGAGAAGCTAACACGAGTTCCTTTATATGTACAATCATCCTCAGTAAATATGACAATCTCATGGTCTCTTTTAGTAATTTGAAGTTCAAAATAAATATGATGATCAAAAACAAGCTAAGTCAGTAAGATATGTTCTGCTTTGTTTTCACACTGTGACTACCTGCTTCCATTTTACTTAAAAATTATTGATTTAAACCACCTTCCATAGATGAGAATTACAGAAATTGTCAAGAGTCACTATTATCATAAATATATATGTGTATATACTCAAACATGTTTATATTCAAGTATATATTCAAACATATATGTAAACATATATAAATGCATGTTTGAATATATACATATAGTATATATAATATAAATATATATATAAACCCAGGGCCTCTCCAAACTTAGGCAAAAATCCTAGCACTGAGCTATATGCTTTTTTTCTCGACAAACATTTATTGAGAAGTTTCTATGGTAATCCCTTCCAGCATCTAACAGTGTGATTAATGTAGCATAGAAGAACCAGACCTCTGGCTTCTGTTCTAGTGCTAAAGAACTTGAGTAAGTCATTTATATTCTCAATATTTCTACCTCTATCTAGAAAATGGGGATGTTGAAACAAAGTATTTTTTCAGCTTTAAAAATTATAGCTAATGCATACTCAGAGGGAATCATTGAGAGAAGAGACAGCTCTATTTACCAAATTTTGCAAGCATCTGAGTATCCTTTGAACATAGTGACTGTTGGGAAGCACTGGGCATTGGTAGAAGAAAGAAATTAATTCCTACTCTAAGATATCTTCACATTACTGGGGCTAGACATGAGAAATAATCCAATTTAGCTGTATTTTTAAATTATAATTCAAAATCCAATGTTTTAGTATTCATTTCGCTATATTATATTTTTGGTCCTGTCCATTGATTCTAACTGAAATATGAGTAGTCCCACTAAACTAAAAGTCATTTACCTGGCATTACCAGTGGAGAAAAGGCTAATTGTGAGTTCTCACACTCCAAAGAGATGCCTATGTTTTTCCTCAGTGAACCTCAATCATGAGCACTGACCTCGATGTTTTCACCACTTCACCACTCTCATGCCTAAGGCCTAGGCTGTGAAATTTCCATGCTCTCTGACTGGATAGAGTTATCTTCCTAACAGTGGTTAGAAAAGGCCTCTTAATTATTAAGCCTTCTCAAAAGCAGGATAATTTCCCTCAGCTGCCATATTTCTCAAACATAAAATCTCTCCTGTTACACACTCATCTTTTTAATAACAATGGGATTCTAAAATTAGATACCATCTTGTCAAATCCTCATTTTAATGATTTGTTCAAAGTCCCAGTTTGTTGAGCAAGAGCACTGTGCACAGACCACTGATCATAAGACTTAGATTACACCTCTTTTCATGGGGGCCATACTTCAACAACATCAGACAATTCCTTTCCTTCCAAGCTTCTTCCTGTAAAGTATCCACTCCACATTATGGGTCAGACTTGCTAGTTATGTGACCAGTTGCATGCTACTGTCACATGTAATCATTTAGAATAACATAGATATAGATACCAGTCATAGTATCTATATTAGATACTAATCTGATATTGATTTAGTCTTGTGAACTGTAGCTGATTTGTTCTCTTTAACTCCAAAGAGATAAAAATAAGTGTATTACACACAATACCCCTGAGCTCTACAAATTAAAATACAAGGACCAGTCATGCAGACCTTATTAACCTTGAAAAGACAGCAATTTCCAAAGTGGGGAAAAAGCCTATTAGTAAAGATCCAATGAGAGTTTTCTAAATGACAAAGCTTGGAGAGGCAGGGAGGTAAAGACAGAATGGGTCAAACACTTTACTGGTCCAGAAGATGGACAAAAAAGGTTTATAGAGTCCTTCCTTTCTTGAGGGTTAGTGTAAGGAAAGGGATAATGTAAAAAGTACTGCCATTCCTTGACATTGGTTAATATTCCTTAAGTGATTACTAAAGGAGATAATATGTACAATAAACACCATCACGACTTCTTGCTTTAGAAGCCTGGAGTAAGACATCACATTTAATTAACAACTAAGTCATCAATGGACCATTTAGTTCTTTCACAATATGTTTAAGTGAATAAGGTGAAAAAGTAGATTTTTAAAAAAATATGATAAAAATATCAATATTGGAAGGCAGAAATCAGCTAGAAACTAACTCCCATATCTAATAAATGTCATCATTTCCACCACTTTGTAAGAGAGATGTTTTAGTGAACCCCAATGATGGGATAGAAAAACTGTTAAGTAACCTAAAACCACATGAACACAGTCCAGTGGAATTATTATTATTGTGGACGAAGTTGCACAAATAAAAAGCTTTTGCTGAATCTTTTTTCCATGACTTCAGGCAGTTGCTTCAACTATTTTGAATAGCTATATATGCTTCCTAACTTTGTAACTCTCCTTTGAAAATACTGAACAGCTGCCAGCCTGCTCTTATGTTATATGTAAGCAGCCCACAAAGGACAGAGCCCTCCATTAATATGTTGAATTATTTTCAACACACTTATATTTCTATCCTGAGTCATCATCCCTGAAATATGTCAAGTTTCCATCTTCCCAGCTGGGGGAGCACCTGCAAAATACAAACCCAAACTGTGACACATCTGGTACCAGGAAAACCAATCTTGTTTCATCTGGCCTACAGACTAAAATATCAAAATCATTGAACAGAAACAAGGCAAAAAGTTAACTACTTTTTATATGTAGTCAAAACAGATGTCTAGTTAAGCTGTTTATATTGTAAGCATATGTGTATATTAACCGAGCGCAGAACCCTTTAGTAAGCCAGAGTTAGAATACAAATGCAGGAGAATTTTAAAGACCTGAATGCAATAATTCAGTCCTTTTTTATCTTTCCATAGAAATTAAATTAGTTTCTGCAGATCCACATTATCTTTAAACAGACACATATAACACAAATAAATAATTTTTGTCATGTTAAAGAATCACCAAATTGCTTATTCCCTTTAAAACTGTGTATTTTAATATTTAGATTATATTTCTTTAATTGATAAATTACTTACACATTGCTTAAACCAGGTGTTTTGGGTTGCAGTACCCCAAAAGTAGACCTTGGCACAGAATTGAGTTTAGGAATTAGTTTAAGAAGATATCTCAGGGAGCAGGAAAAGTGAGCTAGGAAAGAGAAAGATGCCAAAAAATGAGTGAATTAATAATGACTGAGCCACCTCTGTGGGCAATTAGAGCACAGGTCCCTGGGGATCTGCTGAGAAATTCTGTGGAATCACAATTCCACCAAAGCCAAATAGGCTGGGGCGTTTATACACAACTCCCATCCCTGTAGTAAGGTTGCCCCCACACAGAGACATACAGAAACACAGTTGCCTGCAGGTGAGCAAGCTTGCTAATGCTGGAAAAGCTCTCAGGCAGGGGGAAGAAAGACAAAGTCTTGACACAGGATACTGTCAGCAAACCAGAAACTTCTATTGCAGCTCCCAGTGGCTGAGGGGACATAAGGTGGGATATCAACATCTGCAGAACTTGATGTCTCTGACAATTCAAGTTTGTGTTACTGGCTTAATACCCTAGTATTCCACAAACTTCTTCCTTGATCATTTACTATTTTATTCCTCTTTTTTTCTTTCTTCCCCTCTGTGTCTCCTCCACTATTAAAATTTCTTCTCCTCCAAGCACGAGTCAATTAGTAAATCAGGCCCCACCATGTCTAAAATAAATGGTACTAAATCAGATGCACACATAAAATATGATGCCATGCAGCATATAGTTAACACTAGAAACCTACCTGATCAACAGCTCATCATAAGTCAAATTAGAATACTGTTTAAAATGGATTGATTGCTCTTCAAAGATAAATTTTCAGGAAAGTTAAGGAAGCTAA